GAAATTTCACATGCACTATTTTCGCCGGTCGCTAGCTGGAGGAGGGCAAGCGATTGTCGCCTCACCGCACAGGCTCCATAGGAAATGAATGGAGAGCGAGCGACGTCGCCTCCCGTGTGTCGAGTCCTTAAGACAGTTCTGCGGGTTCTCAGTCCTCTGAGCTCCATCAGATCTCAAAGGCAAATAGATCAGAATGTCATCTGCATAAAAATGAAAAGATACATCATATTTCCTGAAAATGGACCCCCAGAGGAAGCAAATGAATAGAAAACAAAATGGGGCCCAATACTGAGCCTTGAGGAACCCTGCTTCCGAGAGGGGCCTCTGAGGACAGAAACTCCCCAGTTTGAACAGAAAACTTCCTGTCCGACAAGTAGGACTCACACCATTTAAGAGCTGTGCCTTTCATACCAACAAACTGTTCCAAACATGATAACAAATCTCCATGATCCACCGTGTCGAAGGCAGCAGTGAGATCAAGAAGAATTAAAACAGCAGAAGAAGAACCAGAGTCAACAGTTAAAAGCAAGTCATTGCACACCCTGAGAAGTGCTGTTTCTGTACTGTGGTGCGACCTAAAACCAGACTGAAACTTCTCATGAATAGCATTCAGCTCTGAGAGGTCCCGCAACTGATGATAAACCCCCTTCTCCAAAACTTTAGAAAGAAAAGGCAGCTTTGGCCTAAAGTTTGACAGAACATTAGGGTCCAAATTATTATTTTTAAGAACTGGTTGAACAAAGGCATGCTTAAAGGCTGCTGGAGCACATGCTAAACGAAGGGAGGTGTTAATGAAACCAGCTACCCATGGACCAACGGTACTAAATACCTCTTTTAAAAGCCTGGAGGGGATGGTGTCCCTTGGGTTTAAAGAGCCTGTAACATCACATTTTTGTAATAAATATGAATGCATTGGTATCATATTGCAAAAAAAATAAAATAAAATTCACACCAAAGAAAAAAGAAGTGTCAAAATAAAATACCATGGAAAAAATAAAAGAAATGTGCAGATTTCTGTTGATCCTAACAGAAGACTTTTTGTTTGATGTTCTGTGTGATTTTAGTGAAAACTGAACAATTTTAATGACCTTTGAATATTAGAGCCTGATGTTGCATTTTATATGTACAGTTCACCATTTTCTGACTCAATCTTTCATGGATTTATCAATGGAACATACTACCTAGTAATTCGCGGAAAACCCAGAATTTTTGCGGAAACTAGAAATACATTAAACACACTGTACAGTGTGAAACAGTGTTTTTTATTGAATTAACTTTAATGAATGCTGTGTATGTTATGTATTGGGAGCAAATATGGGGTTTAAGCTTTTAAAATGAGTGTTTATAAAATAAGCTGCTTTAAAGCCAGCATTGACCATAAACTACATCTCCCATAATGCATGTTGATTATTTTACCATCCCACCACTAGGTGGAGCTGCACAGGGTTCAAAAGTGGCCAGCGGATGACAAAATTTGCCAACTAAAATCTCAATTTCACTGCATTTTGCTACATTTGCTGCAGATTAGTTGTACTGGGAAGTGGTAATTTCCCATTTCAGTCATAAAGTTAAACTGGAATGCCCCTCCAATGGGAATTCCCTGTTGGAAAGTGAGAGTTCAAGATGGCGGCTGCTCAGCGCAACCCATCAGTGAGTAAAACTCTTTTACTTTTAATAGTAATGGTTTTTAATAGGGATGCAAGTTATCGATTAATGGATTAATCTAAAATTGATTGATCTTATCGATCGACTGACGATTAATTGATAAGCATCCATTTTCCTAAAAAACCTGACATTTCTCTTGAACCAAGGGTCTTTCTATGACACGAAGGGCTAATCTTTTACAGACTAAATTGAAAAAAAAAGTACAGTATTATGTTTTATCAAATTTATTGTGCCAGCTGTATTAAACACTGACTGAAAAACAGAAAATTGTGGATTGCTGATTTGACGTCAGTTACTGTTCGTTTGATTGGTTCATTGGCCGGGTTACGTCACACAGGTGAGATTAACTTCACATTAATTCTTTATAGCGACTAACATGTTTTGTTTTGTTTTGTTTTGTTTTGTTCTTTCACACGGAGTTAAACTGTACAAGAAGCCAACGTTAGCTAAAGTTAGCTTACCCTTCTCTGTCTTCCTGCTCTCTTGTCTTTAGCGTCATTCTGCTGGACAGTCTGGTCCGGTACAGCTTTCGGTACTTTTCCTTCGAGTCTGGTGTAGTCTATACGGACATGGCGGGGGATTTTTTTTCTTTTGCGTTCCCACGCAATACTTTTGCTTTACCTCGCAAACGTTTGCATTGCCTCACAAAATTTTGTGTTCCCACGCAAAAGTTTGTTTTGTATATGAACTGAATTTAGTCAGACTTTTATTTTGAAATATTCGGTTACCAAAACAGGATGTGTCGCCACAAGTTTGTGAAATTGATATTGATGTTGCGTGGCTGCACTGTGTTAAAATATTGGCTTATGACATACTTCCATGTGTGGTTTGTGATATATTCATTCTGAAGCTGAATTAAAGCAGTAGTTTAACTCACTAATGGTGAACAAGTGAGTTTGTTAATAAACCGGCAGGCACAACAGTGATAAATGACTTTTGCGAGGGAACGCAATTGCATTGGAACGCAAATGAAAAAAAAATCTCCCATGTCCCCTCGCGGACTCCGTAAGTCCATTATTATTATTGTGTTGCAAATAAAACTAAACAAGATTTGCGTGTTTAATTACGACGCTGCTCTCTGCTCTGCTCAACAGGTAGAATAAGGCCAGGCTGAGAGCAGTGGTGCCCTCTACTGGATGAAGTTAAAACTACACTGAAACAAGGTTTAAAAAGATGGTTTCAATTAATCAAACGGAAGAATTTTTATTCTAATAAACCATTATTCGACAATTAATCACAAGTTGATTAATTGTTTGCATTCCTAGTTGCTTGGAAAAAGGGCATACGCTGATTTCCAATTTTGAACATGTTTTTTTTTTCAGAATCCTAAATTTTAATTTACAATTGATTTAAAATCTGTTTTTATAAGTAAAAAATTTTTTTATATATATATATTTTGGGGGGAGAGGGAGCCTCATCGGCAGCCCAGAAGGAAGTCACCCGGCCCGCGGGCCACCAGTTGATTAGTCCTGCTCTATGTGATTCCAGTTCGAGCTGGCACCAGCGTTTCTCATAAAGATACTTTTCATTCCTTGACTTGAGGGAAAAGCTTCAGGAGGAGGGATTTGCGAGCAGAGCAGCTTCAGACATTCATCCAAACTGCTTCCCACTCTGCTGCCAAGTGCCCCGGGGTCCGCCGGAGGTCACGGTCTGATGAAGCCCAACTCGCTCCTCATCAGCTGCACCTGGAGCCGCTCCCAGCACACAGCCGGTCAGGAGGCCGCTGCAGCTAAAGCTGAGCTAAACCAGAGACTTAAATGGAGCTAAAATATGGATAAAAACTAAAAGCTCAGCAGAAAAATATGTTTGCTTTTAGTCCAGATTCACTAAGCGGTTAAAAGTGTCAACCTGGTTTAAGTTTTCAGCCATTGCTCTGACTTTTAGAAGTATTTTGTTTTAAGAAAACAACTTTTGTTGATTTTCTTTAACATTTTGTGACGATGACACTTCATTATCATCATTGGGATAACACTGAGTGTGGTAAATGAGAGTCATCCCCAGGAAATTCTCTAATACGCTTTATTTTCATGATTTAACCTAAAAACCCACCTGGAGCTGAGTGGTTTTAGGAAACGGGTTCAGGCGTTTGGCTCTGGTGGGATTTGGGGAGGGACCGGAGCGACTCGACACAGTATGGATTTTGTTTCCATCCTAATGGAATTGCAGAAATATTTGAGGGGAATCCCATTACGTAGCAATTGGAGTGCTGTAATAATGTACTCACAGTCATTTTCCCACTGCGGTTGGCCTCTTCTCGCTCTGCCAGGGCCTTCAGGAAGTTATCTTTCAGCTCTTTTCCTGCACTTGCCAGTATCCTGGAAAACACAACACTCAAACGGCTTGAAATGTTTCTCTTAACAAGAAGGGGAAAAAAGATTTATGGCAGCTTTTCACATCATAAAACTTCACTTCAACTGCACTTTTTCTTCTCAAATGTGGTTAAATAATTTTAAAAAATCCATTAAAACATAAAAAAACAGTTTGACTTCCATTAAAAAGACACATTTTATTTTCACTTGATACTGCATATATGAACCCTGTACGTACACAAAGCATCACTGCACCAGAACTCAGAACATACATACAGTGTATATACAGTATGTATGTGTGTGTGTGTGTGTGTGTGTGTGTG